CTGCAGTGGAATAATGGCTTTGGAAAAAAAAAATTATGTATGTATATATAATGTTTCAGTGTTTACATTCATCGATGTCTGCCAGCAAGTTTATGTGTGAATCAATATATTAATTTCATTTTATTCAGCATTGTGGGGTCCTGCAGTAATGGTTCTTGGCGTTGCACACTCGGGCTGCAATTGGCAAGCAACTGTAATACTGATTTGTTTAGCGCTCTTCTGTAATGGTGCCGTGACTGCTAGCATCATTGTCAACCACACTGATATCGCCCCAAATTTTTCAGGTGAGGCTTTAAATAAGAACTGTTTTAATCAATTATTTATGATTCTACTATTCCTCTGTTATATTCAGCTTATCTCAGGGCTATGTTGACGATCCCTTTATGCAATGTTCCTTCCTTAGGCACATTGCTCGGCATGGATAATACGTCTGCAAGCATTGTGGCCTTCATCGTTCCTGTGGTCATAGGAGTCATGACGAAGGGGCAGGTTTGTGGCTACATTTGACTGAGTGTGGTGAATATAATCTAAAATAAATTGTGTTAGCAAGCCGCATCACAATTATCCCTCAGAAACACACACACACACACATACATATAGATAAATAGATGGATGGATATATATAGATGTATATAGACACACACACACACATATATATATTAAATAATACACGCAAACAGATGTATATATTTATATGGACAAACACACACACACACACATGCACACACACACACACTAATACTCTCACACATTGCACACACACACACACACTAATACTCTCTCTCTCACACACACAAACACACACATATATATATTTATCTATCTATGTATATGTCTATGTATGAATACACACACATACATACATACATATATATATATATATATATATATATATATATATATATATATATATATATATGTGTGTGTGTGTGTGGTGTGTGGTGTGGTGTGTGTGGTGTATGTATATCTGTGTGCGTATATATATATATATATATATATATATATATATATATATATATACTTATATAAATGCATATATATACATCTGTATACATATACACATATATACATATATATGTGTGTGTAAATATATGTATATACAAACAGGGACCCTCGTAGGTGGAAGCGAAGGGTGGATGTGGCTATGTGCCCCCAGATATATATGTGTGTAGATACATACATATATATACATACATTTATAAATACATATAATATGAATATATATATATTCATATACATATATATATATCATCATTTGAGAGCTAACGCCGGCGGGGACGCATAGCCGCATCCACCCTTCGCTTCCACCTATGAGGGTCCCTCATGGCTAAACGCCAGGCAGGTGCCCGGCCATCTCTAGCTCCTCATGACAGGTTTGATCGATCTGTCCAAACCACGACTTCCTCGGTCGTCCCACAGGCATCCTCCACCCAGGGTTGTCTCAAACAGAGACAACGTGGTGGGCAGGGTCATCCTGCGGGAAATGAGCCAAGTGGTCAGTGGTTGGCGATCAGGGAGTTTGCAAGTAACAAGTCCTGTACCAGTCTCACGGTGCAACTGTTGGATGGACACATGGTCCCGCCAGCTGTACCCCATGATTTGATGCAAGGATCTGTTACAAAAGGCATCAAGATGAGATTCCAAAGCACAGATAGGGTCCAGGTTTCACAACCATATTGTAAAACTGGAATTATCAGGGCCTTGAAGACACGTAACATGCTCCTTCTGCACGGATACCGACATCTCCAAATACTCTTGTTGAGAGATTTCATGACCCTACTGCCGAGCCAGTCCATCTACTGACTTTTCTGGTCTGACAGCCTGGAGTCATGAACTGCACTACCGAGGTTTATAAAGCCGTCTGTGACCTCAATGTTTTCTCCGCAAGCATATACTGACTGAAGAGGGTCTCCTAGTAGGCCCCCAAAATCCTGGATCTTAGTCTTGGTCCAGGAGACCTTGAGCCCCAGGAGCTTCGCTTTGCTAAACACATCAAGAGCCACAACTAGGGTTTCCAGATATTAAGATAGAATAGCAACATCTACAAAGTCAAGGTCTGTAACCTTGATATTGCCCAGAGTTGGTCCACAGTGACTTTGGACAGTAGCTCTACCCAGTATCCAATCCATGCAAATGTTGAAAAGTGTTGGTGCAAGAACACAGCCTTGCCTCACTCCTGAACTAACAGGGAAGAAGCTCGACAGGCTGCTACCACACTTTACAACACTTTCAGTGCCTATATAGTGGTTTGCTATTAATCCAATAATACTTGTTGGAATTCCTCTTAGTCTCAGGATCTCCCAGAATGATTCCCGATGCATGATATTAAATGCCTTCTTGAGGTCGATTTAAGCTGCAAGGACTGGATCAAGATTGCTCCCCATCCGGGGAATGGTACCAGTCTGCCAGATGGCAGACGGCAGCATGCAAGCCCCTTGCCATAGGTTCTCCACCAGCCTTTAACAGTTCAACTGGGATGCTGCTAACCCCTGCTGCTTTA